TATTTACTAAAATAGTTTGGCTTCAAATGTATAAACCTTTGATTTGTAACTTGGATATTTCAAATGATGATGTATTGGGAGATTTTCATAAATGTTCTACTTATTACCTTATACATATACTTTATTATAGAAAGTTTTCATTACTTATTCTTATGGTTTGTAAAATATTGGTATTTAAAATTTTATAAATGCTTGAAAAAATAATTATCCTACTGGATTATGGTTGCTCATCACTTGCTAGTACTTTCAAAGATTAGCAAGCATCTTGGGGCATAGGTGATAAAATGCTTGTCGGAGTTTGGACTAAAAGAATCTCTTTTAAAGTCTTTTTTATATTTTCCTTTAGACCTAATGTCAAAATTTTAGCTCACAAGCATTGTGTTTGGAAAGGTTTTCTTGGGACACTTGTGGTGTACACCTAATCACCCCATAGAGAGACTATTATTTTTGGTATTGTAATATAAAACTATGACTTTAGTTATTAAGTTTTGGTATCAGGATTTGGGAGGACTCCATGGGCCACCCGACTTTAGTTGGATTATATTTTGATGGATGCAAGTTGTGAATATTTAATTAGTTTGAATTATGTCATGCTTTCGCAGGGATTATCTTACAAGTTGGTTGAAAGCTTGATTTTCAAATGAAATTCTATCGAAATTTTTTAAAAATATGTTTTGATTAAACCAAATATTTCATTTCATTCAATTAACATTATAAATCGGCAACAAATTTTTGGGATAAATGTTACTTTTTATTAAATCACGCTTTAATGAAAATTAGGGCGTGACAAAAAGATACACCCCTAAATCAATACGATCCAGTTCGGTACCCAAGTTCGAAGACCAACAAGACCACCTAAATATTTGCGAACTCAATGAAAACTCTCTATGGCCTCAACTTGAAATGTAAACCCTCTGCAACTCAAACATGTGTACACTTACATTTAGTTCAAAGGACCCCAGGGTTTCAAACTCATACGAACAATACGATCATTTCGAGCAATTATACGAAATCACAATCAAATCTTTAATCTGGGTCCGAATTTCTAAACAATATTCAAACACTCAATCATATATTTAAAAACATGTTAAACATTCATAAATAATGTAAGGAATAATTTTAAAACAAAGTTGAAAAGCATCACCTGCTTTGGAATTGAGAAACCAGCGTTTCGATTCAAAACTGCCACAAATGAAATAATGTTATTTTCCAATGAAATTTCACACGCATGCTTAATTAACCTACTTAAGAGTGGATATAAAATTTATTTGATGAAAATCACCCAAAAACTGGATCAAATCGACCCTAAAGGCAAAATAGACATTTCACTCCATATATTGATCCGATTATCGGAATGACTTGAAACTTTACCGAGACCTCTGTAAGTGTCTTAGGAGTCAAGTGAGGTCCTTCAAATCAACTTAAACCCAATTAAAATTTAAATCAAAGTTAGTTAAAAATATGAATCCTCCTCCATGGCCAGATCAGCAAGTGACCTTTGACCACCCAAACATCATCTAAATTCATTTTAAACGGTAGAAATGAGTTCCTTATGTCATTTTAGTCTAGAACCATACTTCTTACAATTCAAAACACAAGATTAACAAGTTTTAATTTTTCAAAAACTCAAACCCTAACATTGAACTTCCTTCTCTTCAAACCTCCACCACCAATCACGGCAACCCTCAAATATACCCCCAAACTTCATATCAAACCCCCCCCCCTGTCACTTATACC